TTTTAAATAAATGTATTGAGGTATTTATCTCCTTTGATACATTTTTGCATGATTTGTCAGAAGTTGAAATAGCTCTTCTGTGTATAAAGAGAAGTTTTATGTACACAGCAGCTTGGTACATAGAGATTTTTGTAAAATTTCCAAACGGTTATGCCAAAACTGGGCATTGTTTCAGTGTGGTACAACTGTTGTGGCTGGTTGTAACGATAACCTCTGGTCAGTATTTCCTTGTTTATATGTTGGTAGGTTTTATAGTTTTGGTATAGTTTTATTTGGCATTTTTACTGATTGCCTACTGTCATCCCGAACTCTTAGTCTTACTATTTTGTATATACTATAATGAGTTCCCACCAGTGATAAAACTTCTTGACCAAAAGTCTTTGACCTTTATGGCACTTAGGATCTATACAAGTGCTGGTCTTATCCCCTCCTCCTCTGCCAATAAAAGCATTAAATGGCACAGGACTGAGAACAAGTCACTACAAGCATAATTGGGTGTGATTATTTCTGGTGTTACTTGAAATCTTAATTCATGTAGTGCAAGCCATACTAGTGTTACTTTACCTTGATTTATTTTAGGGTAGTTTGGTTTTACAGCTTATGGGAGGCTGTAAGAAGGTGCACAAAGAAATTCCTATTAATAGCATGTATGCACATGTCTCCCCCTGTGCTCTGAGAGTGCCTTGATGCAATTTAGTTAATTTTGGAGCTGGATTAATCTGAATTAGCTCCTTGGATGGTTACAACTTCACATGCAGAATAGTCGTTTATCTTGCATTCAGCCTGGACCACCTGACTAAATGTGAAAGTTGTGTCCAGTTACCCTGTATTTTTTATTAGTTCCTTTTTAATTGATGCCTGTATTGGTGTGTGTGGCTCTACCTGGCAATGATGCCAAGACAACAGGCTTGTAATTGTTGGTGTAATCCTAAACATCAGCACAACAGCTGTTTTCTTCCAATCTTGAGGTACTGCCTATGAAGTAAAAAAACTTGGAAAAATGGGAATTGTACAGAAGGTTTTTGTTACAGTGTTTGTGTGAATTGCATACATACTGTTTTAAAATCTGTTTGTTTTTTTCCAAACATACTTGAGTTGTTCTGTAGCATCACAGTTGCTGTGTTAGTGGGATGTATTATGTGGACCAATTGTACTTCGGTTTTTTTGATGTATTGAACAGAAATTCCCCTTTAGCTGCATTGACTTTTTTGCATCAACTATTGCCATGTCTAGTAATGGAGAGAGAAAAACCACTGATGTTCTATTAGATGTGCTTAGACTTACACTGAGATGATCAGTGGTTTTACCTTCTGCCCTTTGTTTCCATTTTCACATTTAGATGCTTTTCATCCTGATTAGTGATTGCTACAGTGTTTCTTTTGTATCCACATATATATTTTATATAATATATCATAATAGGGTGGTGGGGCACTGGAACAGGTTGCCCAGAGAAGCTGTGGCTGCCCCATCCCTGGAGGGGTTCAAGGCCAGGCTGGATGGGGCTTGGAGCAACCTGGTCTGGTGGGAGGTGTCCCTGCCCAGGGAAGCGGGGGGTGGAACTGGGTGATCTTTAAGGTCCCTTCCAACCCAAACCATTCTGTGATACATGTACGAACATAAGGAAGTGAAAGCAGATAGCAGATCAGACTACTTCACTTGAAATGCAAAGCAAAAAGCCCCATAGCTCTTCTGATCATGGAGGCTGTTACAGGATTCAGACACAAGATAAATGTGATTAAATTATGAGTCCTTTATTGCTCTTTTCTGGGTTTCAGATCAGTCTCCTCTGCTCAATAATGAAAAATAACTTAAGTGTGATAGTTCATAAATGAAGAACTGCCAAGTTGCATTTTTAGAAAGTTTAGTAAATTCATATGACAGCATAAATGTCATTCCTCTTTTCCCTTGTTGACCAAAGGAGTCTGGATGTGCCTGCTAAGTTTCAGTAATAATGGGAGACTGGGAAGCATTTTTTTGGGGGGGAAAGTGCTACTATAAATAAATATTAGAGAGTAAGTTTGAGGGCGTGTTATTTTGTGTTTTTTCTATTCTGAGATCTGGTTGTCCCTACTCCTTTTTTTAAAACAAGGAAGAGACACAGCTCTCTTGATTAACCTATAAACAGTTTACTTCTGGAACACAGGCAGAACTTGATAGGTTTGTTTTCTTATTTGTACGACTAAACAGCTGTAAGAGTTCAATGAAGTAACTGAGAAATGGGGGATTAACAGGACTTTCCATTCTGGATCATATTTGTAGTCTGTTTAATCTGCTGTCTTCTTCTTGAGGTTGTATTTTTATCTGTGCTTTAAGCCCACACAAATTGCCACCAACCCAGAGGAACACAGTGCTGCCCTCTCTCTTGTGCTGCCAGCGAGCGTTTGGGAGACTAGATCAGGGAGCTGATCTGAATTAAAATTAAGGGTGGTGGAGGGGGTCTGGGGAGGGCTTGTGCTTCGTGAGGCTGTTGTGAACACGGGAAGGATGATGTCTGTTTATTTTCGCATAAGCCCACACAAATTGCCACCAACCCAGAGGAACACAGTGCTGCCCTCTCTCTTGTGAACGTTTGGGAGACTAGATCAGGCAGCTGATCTGAATTAAAATTAAGGGTGGTGGAGGGGGTCTGGGGAGGGCTTGTGCTTCGTGAGGCTGTTGTGAACACGGGAAGGATGATGTCTGTTTATTTTCGCATTCAGTTTGGTGTGGGTTTGTTCATTTTAACAGTAGCACTAGTTTATGCGAGGCTGAAGCATACCTGAAGATACACTTGATGATCTGTGATGTAGAAGCTTCTGACATAATACTGTTTAAGTAAACATTTATAAAATAGTTGGTTTTTTGGTGTGGGGTAGGTGTGTTTTTTTCCCCCACACTTTGACTAGATACCAGTGAAGAATAAAAATCCTTCAGAAGCACACACACAGACAAAAACCAAACCTTAAACTCCCCATTAGTAGCGTATTTTTATTCTTCCCTTGAGTGAAGTGTGTGCAGTTATCAGGTTCTTGCCTTCTACCCTGGGTTTACTGTTCTTAATTTGCTTTTAGTCCTTTATTTCACAGAATGATATGGGGTTGGGAGGGACCTCTGGAGACCATCAAGTTCAACCCCCAATTTCTAGCTTGTGCAACATTTGACCATGTTAGAAGTACTGTTGAAGCTCTGGTATCTCAAATCCAAACAAGTTATAAAAAAGAGCCTTAATTTTCAGAGAGTTCAGTGTTCAAAGCTTTCGGAAAATCTATATACAAGTGGTAGTAACCAGTATGTTTTTTAATCCTTTCTTTTCAATGGGTCTGTGTTAAAAGAAGTTTTCTTTAAAAAACCTTATTGTGACAACCTCTCAAGACATAATATATTGATGGGAAAAAATGCAGCCTGCGTTCATCTATACGAGAGCAGGAGTGGTGGCTGTTTCCAGTGTGCAGCCCATTTTGAATTAAAATTTGTAGAATCAGTACTAACACAATGTCGGTTACTTCATCTTCTCTGTAGGTAGGAATTAGTTTTATCACTTCACCAGTTACATTTGAATGCCAGCTGTATGTTAAAAAAAAAAAAAAAAGCAAGGTGTGAACAGGAGTGTGGCCAAGATTTTTCATTAGAAATGTTCTTTATACTTTCTGTCAGGCATCCCTGAGTGCTGGTATAGAGAGGGAGGGTTTGTTTTTCCGTAATGGCTATTCCTAAAAATGTTTATATCTGCATTTACTATAAAGCTAGTGTTGACTTATCTTGATTTTTTGCCTTTTTGATGGGATTCCAGTTAACAAAAGGCACAAAAGAGGCTGAAACTGAGGATATCCTCAGTTTTGTGGGCAAGGATGCAACTGATTGTTTGATTTACACAAGTTTAAGATGTGATGGGGTGTTTTTGTAAAGCAGGGCTTATTTCAAAGCGATGAATTCATCACTTTGAATTTGAAGGGTAGATTTGGGATTTTTATTGAAAGCATGCAGCTGCAGTTCTTTAAGTCAAACTGGGTGTTTCTTTGCAAGTGTTTCAGTGTTTGTAGGGAGAGTGAGATTACATACAAGAACATGGATTTGCAAAATTGGAAACTGCCTCTAAGACTAAGGCCAGAGACTGAAATTTGAGTGGATAGCTACAGTGAAAATAATACTGTTTTTATTTTGCAAGTGCAATGAACTTCTTTTGTCTTAATATTTGGAACAAATGGGAATAGATCATTGTTGGTTGTTTTAAGTATGTGGTAGGTGGTGATACTGGAGAAGATGGTACAGCTTGGTAGTGCTGGGTTAATGGTTAGACTCGATGATCTTAATGGTCTTTTCCAGCCTAATTGATTCTATGAACTGTAGTGGCTGGTTTTAAGTCTGAAGCTTCAGACTCAACAACCTGTATATCAAAGTTGCTTGAGTCATAATTTTATGGAAGACTAGGAACAAAAAAAGCCTCAAAGTAATTGTGGGATGTTAACATAAAAATTTTTTTTCTTCCAGAGCTCTCTTATCATCTTGAGTGAGTTTTTGTGGGTTAGCATAATTCCCTTGCTGCATGGGCAAGAAGAGTATTTAGTATTGCCTTAGTTCTCTGCAGCAGTAGCAAGTAGAGGTGGGAAGAACTGTGAGAAAAGTCTAGAATGTAGGGCTGATTTCTTATAGTCATTAAACGAAGGGGGTTAAGGTGGTGGTGTCTTCATGTGATAGCTTTCTTCTGTCTTGCCTGTAATGAGATGCACTGTGGCAGTGCTTATATACAATGAGTGTAATATGTGTACTTAATGTTCAGTATGCATCATATACTGTTGTTACTCTTTGATGCTTATTCTCCCAGGTGGCTGTTGCAAGGCTTTTTTAAAATATTTGGTTTCTGTCTGCTGATTCTCCCAGGTGGCTGTTGCAAGGCTTTTTAAAATATTTGGTTTATATCTACTATGTACTAGATACCTTTAAAGTTATATTGCATTTAAATTCCTACTTTGCCTTTAAATACTTAACTGTTTCTTTCTGCTGTGTCTCTTAACTCATTATAGGAAAGATCGTGACCGGGACAGGGACCGTGATGACCGTTCTAAAGATCGCGACAGGGATCGTGACAGAGATAGAGATCGTGACAGAGAAAGGGACAAGGACAAAGATTTGAGAGCTACTTCTAACTCTACGTATTATGCGGCTGCTGGGTTACCAAGCATAAAACCAGCAATGATTCCACACAGTATTAACCCTTTCACAAACCTACCACATACGCCGCGATATTATGACATCCTGAAAAAAAGGCTACAGCTTCCTGTCTGGGAATACAAAGAAAGATTTACGGATATTTTGGTTAGGCATCAGTCATTTGTGCTGGTCGGAGAGACTGGGTCTGGTAAAACAACACAGGTGAGTTCTTGTTTATATGATACTACAGTTTTTTAAAGGTTGAGACCGTTGCTAGATGTGTGTTCTTGAAATTCATTGTGTAAACACCTCACAAATTGTGAGGAAAACTAATTTGATAGATATTTTATTAGCTTAATGAATACAGAAGTGAGAAGAATCTGTCAGCATCTTCCCCTTTCACAGTCCAGTTCTGTTCTCTGGCCCCTACTTCTGTTAGGCTTTATAATTCACAGTTACCTTTTTGGTAAAGGAAGGTGAGAGATTTTAAGGGCTAGACAGACATGTACCAAGTCCACAAACTGAGAATTTACATCTGTAGTTTATTTAGATCTTTGGGTAAGTAGCAGCTGGAAAGTAGGAAGAAAATTGCAGAAATGGGGACTTGTTAGTGTTTTATGAAACTTACTGCTACAAATATGAAGTTAAAGGGAATTGACATATCAGATACAATTCTGATGTGATCTGATTAGATCATGTGTTTTGGTGATACTCAAACTTAAGAGGAAGTAACTTGTAGATTCGTGTCTTTAAAAATCTTTGTCAGCACTCAAAATAGTCGTAACAGATCCGCAGATCTTACTCAACCCTTCAGGAGAATTTTGAGGACCAGTAAACTGGGAAGATCTAAGATACAAGGAGACATCACTGTGTATTTATAGAATCATAGAATCTTCTAAGTTGGAAGGAACCTTTAAGATCATCTAGTCTAACTGTCACCCTAACTCTGGAAAAAACCACAACAAAACCCAAAAGAAAACCATAGAAAAGGACCCCCCACATCACTAAACCATGTCCCCCAGCACCACATCAACCTGTCTTTTGAAAACCTCCAGGGATGGTGCCTCAACCACTTCCCTGGGCAGCCCATTCCAATGCTTTAATAACCCTTTCAATGTAAAAATTCCTCCTAATCCAATCTGAACCTCCCCAAACTTGCTCAAAACTTCAGTCTGTCCTCTGGTTTGCTGCTTAAAATCTATGTGGAAAAGTGATGTAAAAAATTTTCTTTGTTCTGTAGGCTGATATATTCCTTTTATTTAGGCAGAAAATAAAACCTGAAGGATATTTCAGTCTTCATAAAATGGATTATAGCTAACTTACAGTAAGTCTTACGGAAATAAATTTCTACTCATAAAATCTGGATGCCTAAAAAATTTGAAGGACATAGTAGTACACTGGATACCGTTTATAGCTGTACTGGAAATATTTGAAGTTATATGCCCTTCTTGCTGCAAACTTTAGGAACCAGTGTCTTGTTTGGAAGATACCATATTGCATTATCTATATTGCTTTTTTGACATGTGTAAGCTGAGACCAGGATCTTAGAGAATTCTTCAGAAAAGTTTGATTATGTAGTTATTTGGAAGATAATTTGGTAATTATCTATATGAAGATAAGATTTCTTATTGCATGATGTGAGAAACCGAAGATCTGAAGGGTGTGTGTTCTTAATATCTATGACTTAAACTTCAAATAGTTCCTACTATCGTGTTGTTCCCTGGGCAAAAAGCTTTCCCTGAATTGTCTTCCTACTTTACTCTTTGCTTTCTGAAAGGACTTAAGAAACCTAAGGCATCTTTCCTAGAAATGGGATTTAAGCTTTTACCAGAAGCACATAAGCTGTTTTGGAAGCTTCACTGCTTGCTCTGAATTCTCTCCATGAGATTGCAGATATATTTTGAAATAATTGAGTTTCTCTGGAGGAATGTATCACTGAAAATGGTCCTGCTGCCACTAAATGACAGCCTTGTTTTGCATGTGATAGCGTCCCATCCTTTTTGTGATCAACACCTGTCTTTAAACCAGTTCTTGTTGTTGTTTTTTTTTTTCTCCTTAGATTCATTGATCAGAGCAAGAGAAATAATTATCTGTGGTTAAGAAACCCGTTAGTGCTCAAACTGAAGGTGTACATTTATGCTTGCTTTTATTGGTATAAAGTTGAAAGTATTTGAAATACATAATGAGTTGCTCTTCCCAAATTATTACCTTGCTTTTCGTGGTGATAGTAGAAGGCTATGTAGTAGTAGATAATATTTTTGAGAGTGAGCTGCTGCCTGTGAAGTCCTTTCCCTGCTTATTATGTACACATTTTCCCTTTAGCCTTGTAGGGCACCCAGGTTTGGGAAGACCTGGCTTTGACAATGGAAACAATAGGAGATAAAACTTTCTCAACATCTTTTTCCACATGGACTTAATCCCAAAGCACTGAAGAAGTATATTGGAAGCCAAGACCATTAATCTTCAAGTCCCTAGTATTTGCAAGGGCTTGATGTATAATATAAACTTACCCTTCTAAGTTAACTGTTTTCTTTAAAAGCTTTTGGAATGTGCTCAGCGATGGAATGGGTGTGCTGAATTTCTTATAGAAAGAGGTTAAGTACCTGCTATAATTGCAACGTGCTCTTCCTTTTAAATGTGGGATCATATGTGATACTGGTATAATAATTTAAATTTCTTCTGTAGATGGAATAGTAGAGTAGCATCTGCTTTCTTTCACTTGAGGCTCTTTAACTATAAAGAGTAGGATGTTTGTTGACATAAGGGATCCTACTTTGTCAGCTAGTTTTCTTGGCAGGTGAAGTTCAGAAGCAAGGTGATTCTGGCTATAGCTAAATCTCCCGCTGTCCTTGCAGTCTACAGGAGAATCAACATGGGTATAAGTCTGACACCTTTTCAATTAATGAAAATTCTTTGAATTCTACCATATAACTTCAAACAGAGAAACTTTTCAATAAATTGAAGTGGCTCAGAAAAGCCAGGAGGACAGTGGTTTTCCCTCTCTTGCCCTGCATCCCGTTGACAACATGGCTTTCCTTTGGCTTTGGAGTGGTCTGTAAGAGCCCTCAGTCCACTTATCTTTGATCTTACAGGCCACTCTGTGTGTAGTTCTGTTATGGTTTGAAGAACCCAAAACAATTTGTTGTCACTTAAACAATTATTCCATCACCCAGTGACCCCTCCCCACCTGGGAAGGGGCAGCAGGGAAAAACAAGTAAACCCGAGGGTAGAAATATAAACAGATTTAATTGAATAAGACTAGATAACAAACATTAACTCTGAAGAACCAAAATTGATCCTGATACCAATGTAAAATATACAAGGATTATATTGAGCACATTGTTATCAGTAGAAGCTGTGCTCTCCTAGTAGTGGACAGCAAATGTTCTACAGCTGTGGTGGGAAGGCCTCAGGGGTCTGGCACTGGGGCAAGAAGTTCTCAGGGTGGCAGCCATCGAAGGAGTGAGAGCACCACACAGCAAACTAAATTAGGTTGAATATGATGTTCGTGGTGTGAAATAATCCTGTTGACAGCCTGGGTCAAGTGCTTGGGTCTTGCTCCTCCTTGTCCCTGTACCTGGTGAGCTCAAAAACACTGAGGCCTTGAATCCCACATAGCATAGCTGGCTGTAAAGTAAATATTTTTCACAAATTCAAGCACTAGAGTCTTCTAAAAACGCAGTTTTCCAGAGCATTAACACTAGAGTCTTCTAAAAATGCAGTTTTCCAGAGCATTAAAGGAGACCTTACTGAAAGGTAAAATTACTGAAATTAATCCTGTGTCGCTCAAACCAGGACAAGTCCCTAACTCCTCATGTTTATGGAGGTTATATTTGAAAATCTTTCATGTGAGGAAATCCTTGAGGTTAAGGGGTGCTAACTAAAGCTGTTCCTCATGCTTTTGATACTGATAAAATGCCCTTTTTTGAGAGAAGTCAAGCATTTTGGTGATTTGTGGGTTTTCAGTGTCAGTGGAGTTGAGTTTTTGGTGATTTGTGGGTTTTCAGTGTCAGTGAAAGTAGCACTTTTTATGTTAGGTTTTATAAGAACCAGATGATACGAAGTGCTCAGTATATTCCCAGTCATGACTGAAGTAGAAAATGTGGTATGGCACAGCCCTTTTTCCTAGTGTTGGTATGTCTCTTAAAGCTGGACATGAAAAGTATTCTGGTGGTCCTCTAAATCAGCTTAACAGATTGAAGTCTGTGGAGGCCTTTTCTTTCATTTGACACTAATACTGTAGGTTTTGCTGTTTACTGGAAAGCCGCTTCTAAATTATTTTTATTTCATGCTACTGTGGCCCGACAGACCTGCTGTCTTAAAAGTTTATTTCAGGACTTGCTATGTTTAAAGTCAAGAAGCTTCACTTCATTTGTTTAGAGATGAGTTTTTATTAGCGTCTTGGGAAGCAAATTCTTTTCTCTCCACTGCACGTTAGGGTGTCTGCATGTGTTACAGGATAGGATTTCAAGTACATGCTATCACTGTTCAAGAACTGCTATTATTTTTAGTGTTGAATAGAGGTTCCAGAAATTTGAGTTCATTTCTTCTTGACAGTCCAGTAGTCTCTTGTCGTATTTTGATAGTCTTTGCTTTTTTTTTTTTTTGTATTTATAATGGAAGTATGTTCTCCATTAAAAAAAACAAAACAAAAAAAACCCACAAAACCGAAAACCATTACAATTAACAGATTGAAGTCTGTGGAGGCCTTTTCTTTCATTTGACACTAATACTGTAGGTTTTGCTGTTTACTGGAAAGCCGCTTCTAAATTATTTTTATTTCATGCTACTGTGGCCCGACAGACCTGCTGTCTTAAAAGTTTATTTCAGGACTTGCTATGTTTAAAGTCAAGAAGCTTCACTTCATTTGTTTAGAGATGAGTTTTTATTAGCGTCTTGGGAAGCAAATTCTTTTCTCTCCACTGCACGTTAGGGTGTCTGCATGTGTTACGGGATAGGATTTCAAGTACATGCTATCACTGTTCAAGAACTGCTATTATTTTTAGTGTTGAATAGAGGTTCCAGAAATTTGAGTTCATTTCTTCTTGACAGTCCAGTAGTCTCTTGTCGTATTTTGATAGTCTTTGCTTTTTTTTTTTTTTGTATTTATAATGGAAGTATGTTCTCCATTAAAAAAAACAAAACAAAAAAAACCCACAAAACCGAAAACCATTACAATCTACACTTGTCTGCTTGTGGGTATGTTTTAGTGGTCACTTATGTTCCATTTTGCTGTGGAAATATGGTGTTCTGGAAGAAAATTTTTGCTGTTTTAAATTGCACTGTTTTCATGTATTTCAGCATTGGTGCAATGTATAAACGTGGGTGTTTTTTCCTCTGTAAATGTGAGCTTTTAGGAATACTTGAAAAACAGTTACTAAGGAGTAGTGGGTTTTATTTCATCTGTAGACTTGGAACTAGTTATGTCTGGAGATGTCTCCTCATAAAATGTCACACTAAGAACACGTTAAGAATATTCCATCTTCATCAAACTGGTACTGACTTTAGAAATTCTTCTGAATAAAGCCTCTTATTTGGGGTGATTGTTACTGTTTCCGCATTCCCAACAGGAGCAGGAAACTGGTGACTGACCAATGGGTGCTGACATAGGAAGTAAAACAGAGATAAAATCTCAAAGGAATAATAGCTAACACAATGAGCATAACTAATTCTTTGTTCTTGTTATTTGTTGTGATTCCTGGTTAAGACAATTTTTTGTATCACTAAAATATCTTTTTGCTTCATGTATTTAAAAGCATTCCTTTTTAAAGACACAAAGTATTATGTGCTTTCTGTAAAAAACAAACTGTGCTGCGGATCTCAAAATTCTCAACGTTTAATTTTGGTTGCTTTGGACCATGTTGGCTGCTGCTAAATGTCTGTGTAAGGTACTGATCTAACTATATGGTTAGATCTATATAGTTATATATAGAAGTATATACTATATATTTATAGTGTGAACTATACTGTGAACCTGTCTTACTGTGCTGCAGATCTCAAAATTCTCAACGTTTAATTTTGGTTGTTTTGGACCATGTTGGCTGCTGATAAATGTCTGTAAGGTACTGATCTAACTATATAGTTAGATCTATATAGAACTATATACTATATATATAGTGTGAACTATACTGTGAACCTCTGTATTTTCTTGATAACTTCCAAGATAGTTGTTTACACAGTTAATGTGAGTGTGCTTTATATAGTGGCCTCGGGTCCAACTAACCAGTCTATCTGCTCTCATGCTTTGGATATTTTTGAGCACGCAGTTGACGTCTCAGTGGACTTATAACTAACTTTTATTTGATACGTAACCAGTCTATCTGCTCTCATGCTTTGGATGTTTTTGAGCACGCAGTTGACATCCCAGTGGACTTATAAGTAACTTTATTTGATACAAGAAGGTTCCAGATTACATCTGGCCATTTGAAACGTGCTTAAAACTGCATTTTATTCTTCACAGATCCCTCAGTGGTGTGTCGACTACATGCGCTCGTTACCCGGACCGAAGAGGGGAGTAGCGTGTACCCAGCCCAGGAGGGTGGCTGCCATGAGCGTGGCACAGCGGGTGGCTGATGAGATGGATGTCATGCTGGGCCAGGAGGTTGGTTACTCCATTCGATTTGAAGACTGCAGTAGTGCAAAAACCATTTTGAAGTAAGTATGGCAACCCTCAGGTAAAGGTCCAACACAGCCTACCTGGGAGGTGGGGGGAATCACAGGGGAGTGAAGGGTGTGAGCAGAGTTAGGAAAGGAGTAAACGAGGAGGGGAGTGAATCTATGGACAGGCATTTTGTGTGTCTGAGTGGAGGAGAGAGACAGGAGCATGTGGCATGAGCTGAGAGAAGCCATGGGTATGGGGCTTGAGTAGAACTTAAAATGAGTCATTCCTCCTGAAGAAATCACTGCACCCTATGGAAATCAACTTTAGATGATCTATAAAGAGGGTGATCTGAAGAAGTGTTTTTATGATTAAGGTGCTATTCAGAATAAAGCCCTTCAATGTTCAGTTTCTTTTTCATGTTATGCATTCTGCTGTCTGCAATATCCTCCTTCTCAGGGTAATCCTGGTGAAGTTGGGTAGCTTACTTCAGTTTTAAGAGCTACCACAACGTTTCAAACCTGGTCTATACCTGACCCTGGGGGACAAAATCTATAGTTTCAGTTGTCAGCTGTTCTATGTTTCTGTGCTGTGTAGGTGGAACCAGGCCCACTTAATGTCATTCGTAGATGGCATTCAAAATGCTCAGTTAAAGAGGATTCCACGTAGTGTGGTTCAAGGAATAGTGCTTTTCTGTCAAAAGTTGCCTCTTTTTTGCTCATACAAGTAGTTGAAGGCTGGGAATAGAGTTAACAGGTAAAAAGAAATTGAACTGAGCTGGAAAAATGAACAGATGATCTGCAAACAGAAAAGGGAAGAACCAATTACAGAAATATTATTTCTAGGATTTCTGAGGATTTTTTTCTCTTTATTTTTTCCTTTCTTTTCCTGTCTCTGATTATAGGCCTGGAAGTCTGCCAGTAATAGCCTACAAACTAGTTATAAATGTTGCTAAACCTTTTTTCCACTTCCCTTTATTTTATTTTTTTTAAGCTTCCCCCCACCTAGTCCCAGATTTCACTTATACTCTGCATTGATTTCTATTTGGAAACTTAAAATAGACTTGTTACCTTGTTGGAAATAGTTTACTGATGTTTCTATTTTTAAAAAATGGATTAAAAGCTTAGTTCAAGCCGCCTAGTGAGCGATACGGAAGAGGATTTTGTATCAGACTTATTAAATACAATTTGTGTTGAAATTGTTTGCCTTCAGGTACATGACTGATGGTATGTTACTTCGTGAAGCCATGAATGATCCTTTGCTGGAGCGCTACGGCGTTATCATCCTTGATGAGGCCCATGAGAGAACACTGGCTACTGATATTTTAATGGGAGTTTTGAAGGAGGTTGTAAGGCAAAGATCTGATTTGAAGGTCAGTAACGAGGAAGCCCAACAGCATCTCCTTTCTGGTTGCAGATACCAAATAAGGTATCTGTGTGCTAACCAATACCTAATTTTTATCATCAACTAAAGTAGATCAACTGTGTTTTTTTAATCTAATGGTAGTCTGTAGTGGAAAGATAACTCTAGGAAATTCTTAATGCAGTTTGTATTGAGGAAAGCACTAGAAACAATATAATTGTAGCTTAACCTTTCTGTATTTGACTAGGAATTTTTGTGGACCTTTGTAAGAAGGGTGTTATATTCAGGTGATAAAAGCATAAACACAGCCAACAGTTGAGTTTATTTTCTTACTACTACATATTGCATGCATAGGATTGCACAAATTCGTGTTAACCTTTTTGAGTAACTTTTTTTTTTTTTCCTTCAACCCTACAGGTTATAGTTATGAGTGCTACTTTAGATGCTGGCAAGTTTCAGATCTATTTTGATAACTGTCCTCTTCTAACTATCCCGGGTCGCACCCATCCGGTGGAGATATTCTATACTCCAGAACCAGAAAGGGACTACCTTGAGGCTGCCATTCGAACAGTGATCCAAATTCACATGTGTGAAGAGGAGGAAGGAGATCTCTTACTCTTTCTTACTGGACAGGAGGTACTTTCTTCCCTTTTTGAAAAAAAACTATCATTCTATACTGAAACCGTTTTAAGTGACTTCTGTAAACTGTAATGTTTTGTTCCTCTTTGTAGTTTATCATTTGAATGAACTGAGTTTTTCTACTGGCCATACATTTCAGGTCCTTAGCCGTTATATGTATCTGTAATAAGCTGTGCAAGCTCTCTAAAATGAAAATTCTCATCTTGCTCATGGACTCCTAAAATAGAAACTCAGAGTATGATTTGTACTGTTGTGAGCCTGGAAGTTCTGGGTGCCTGGTAGCGTCCTTTTTTTGACTGAAAATGTCTTTCTGTGCACTTCTGGATGTGTATTGTACAATTTATCTGAAGAATACCTTTGATTCTGCTACTTAGCTGTCAGTAATAGTGTTAATAAAAATGGGTTTTGTTTTTATGAACAGCTCTGAGTATGAGGTTGTAGTCTGTCTGTACCATAAATAATGGGAGTTATGTCTCAGAGGTGGACTCGGGGCCAAACTGAGGCTAAACTACATCAGGAAATGAGGATTTTCCAAAAATCTTAAATCTTTTGCTCAAAATAAACTGGGGTAGTGTTTGTGTTGTTCTTGTAGTCCTAAACTCTTGCTTTGAAGCCCTTTAGAATGTCTCTATTAGTAGAAGGACATGGAGAAGAGGTAAAAAAACCCCACAGGCATTGTGAAAGTTCACTTGACTGCGTCAACCTAAAATTAGTATTTTTAGCAGGAGGAGAGACAGAGTTAGCAAAAATGTTTTTCTGACTTCATGCACCTCTTGAAGAAATACCTTTCACAGGATGTGGAACAACTCAGTGCCTTTAAGCATACACGATGTTAATTATGCCAAAGGGGGGAAAAATGGTACAAATAACTCGTGATGCTAAAGGTACATAGGCTTCTTGAGTAGATTTGTCAGTCATGAGGATGTGTTGCTTCTTAGATGAGTTTGAAAAGGCATCTTTGGTTAAAATGTGCTCTGGTTGGTAATCTCCTCCCTTAAAAAAACAAAACAATGACTCACTGTAAAAGCAGATACTCCTGGCCTTCACATTTGTCCTTATTTGTTTGGAGTGTTGCTGTGAGTTAAAGTAGGGAAAAATACAGTTGTGGCTTTGAAACCCACCTGTTTGGCTTGAGTTAGAAGTTCTAGTTCAGAGTAGTGTGGCAGGTAACATGGGAATTAGTGAAACAACTCTTCTGAGTGGGTGAGTGAACAGAAAGAAAGGCAGCAGAAAGGAAGGCTGTTGTCTGGCTTTTCAGCAGGTTTTGTTTTCTTACCAGGATGGTAAATCAGGCTGGTCTTTAACCTTCCATGAAGAACAAATACTTGCCCTTTTAATTATAAATTATGTCCTTGCTATCTTGGTTGCTATGTATTGCTTTAAATAATTTCATCTAACAGTTGGGCTGCTGTCTTCAGGTGTTACCAGCTCTGAGCACCGCTCATGTTTGGCAAATGGCTCTAGACCCCACTGGTCTAGTACCAAGCAGTGCTACAGAGGTACTCTGCTCTGGTGTATGAACAGGCTCTTTGATTTGTACTGAGTCGATTTACAGGACAAAATGTGTTATAAACAAATGATAATAAAAATATGAACACAGGACATGTTCATATGTACGGATATAAACATGCATGAATATATGTAACAATATCCTTTTGTTAAAACGTGCGTGGTAAGGCACCATCCTCCTTTTTTTCTCCAGTTCTCGTATCCATGGATGATACTGAAGGCCTGGAGCTAATATGAATTTTGCTAGTTAGCATGATGTTGAAGTCTGATTTAGCTTCTGTAGAGAAGCTTTGAAGGGTTATATCCATCTTGATTTATCATGTTTTTGGGCCTCCATGTGTACTACTGATGACTCTAAAGTGGTAGGACCTACTGTAATCTCAAGAACTGGAAAGTTCTAGGTACCGCTACCACCATGTGGTGTGGGTTCAGTAGGCTTAGTAGCTCGAGTCTTGCTGTTGATTTTTGCTGGGGAGAAATGCCTTGTTTTTCTTTTAGATTCTGGAAAACAGGTTGAGCAGGGTGCAGAACGATTTGATTTTCTTGTGGGAAAGATGCATTTACAAAACCAAATTAAGTTACATAAAAGGAAAATGTTCCAGGTGAGACCATGCAAGTATGAACTGTCTCGAGTTTAAGAGGCTTCAGGTGAGGAGAAATTGCAGTGGTTTAAGGCAGAATGAGGGTCCTTCCTTGCTTCTGCCTTCAATTCCCACTGAACTTGAAGTGATTTTCAGTGGGCAGTAAGATGGATAGCAGTTAATTAGTACCGATTACTTAAGACATAAAGTTGATGATGGAACCTGGAGATAGTAGGAAAGATTCTGTGTTGTCATGCCCAAAAATAAGAAAAAGCTTCAGTACGTTTGGAAACCAAAGGAATCTTAATTGTGTAAGTCCGTTACTGGATGAAGATAAAATTGTTGTTAATGGTGCAGAAATAAGCGTTCAATAAAGACTTCCTTCGCGAATGATGAAAAGAGCAAAAGTACATGATTATGTTGCATGAACTGCTTTTCAGTCCATTAGTAACAAAAGAGGATCTTTTAAAAACAGCATTTATTAGGAATAAACACTTTGAAACAGGCCTTGTATCTCACAGTCGCTGTAAAAAGTTTGTTCTTGATTTTAAGAACAAACAAAAAACCACGCTGGTATATCAGGGAGATTCTGGAAGATGGAAATAATGTTTTGTGCCAGTACTTGAAAAAGGGATAAGCTGAGATAACCTGGATAACTGTAAGCCAGGTTGCCTGATGTCAGTCACAGGCAAAATTGGAAAGGCTGACAGGGAATTGTGTTCACAAGGAAATAGTATAATTGCATTTCAGTCAACATGTCTTTCTTAGACAATAGGTTTTGTCAAACTTGTTCTCAGTCACTGAGATTACAAATATGGTGTCTAGTTGTGTAGATACGCGTTTCTTAAACTTTAAATGTCTCAAGACTGGCTCACCTACGGATCTCAGAGGTAACTGGTTTATTGTCTACTGGAGTTCTGCTAAGACAGTATTAGATTTCACACTCCATTAAGATCAGTAATCTGAGAGTAGGTGTAAAATCCTTACAGATGAAATGTGTGGGGTGCGGGAGGCAGAAATACTGACACAGAAACTGTATAGATCTGTCTTACATATATCTTGGTAACCTCAGCACTTAGGAATGCAAAGTATATTTTCTGCCACTCCAGAACCCTTTTCTCTCTAAAGCTAAATGCATCGTTACACATTTAAGAGGAAGAATCCAAGCTGCATCTGGAGATGTGAAGTACAGATCAGCACTGCTGTTCTTGATTGTAGATAAAAATACTGAAAAGTATTGCGGTGAAGTTCTGGTGTCAGTGTTCCTGAAAGGTTTTAAAATGTGACGTTAGTAAAACTGATGTTGGTGTAGAAAAGAGTTGCAAGATATTTTTGAGGTTTTGGTAGAATGTTTGGTAAATGAGGATTTATTTTAAAGGTACACTTCTTTTTTTTCATCAGAGTAAGGTTAGGCACTGGAACTGAAAGAAAGTAGCAGAGACTTTCTTATGAGGAAATTGAAGTCAAAATTGACAGCTTTTTTAGTCTCAGTGGTAGTGACTGGGTGAGGTTAAGACAGTAGGAGTTCTGGGCTGCAATGGACACTGGTTGTGTCTTGTTTAGCCTCACATAGAATCAATCCCCCACGGCAGGGGGGTTGGAACTTGATCTTTAAGATCTCTTCCAACCTGAACCATTCTATGGTCGAAGGTATTGAGGAGTTGGGGAGCATAAACTGAAAGAAGAGTAATATTAATGGTGTTCAAGTGCTAAAGGGAGGGAAGGTTGGTTTTTTTTTTGTGCTCTTCCTTAATCTGAGATGATGTCAATATTAAATATTTCAAATAGACCAGGTCAAAAAGGAATAGGAATATAGGAATATAGGAGTCGCGCTGAGACAAGTTCAGCTTTGACTCGTTGACGGAGCAGTTCTCAGTTAGGGTTAAGTGTTGACTTGTTCCATGGATGACTTTTTTGGTCTAAGCATGTCATTCTACAAACTTTTGTTTCCCAATTGCATTCGGAGCATCTCCTGAAATGGTGCAGCTCTTAGGGCCAGTTCTGGCCCTAAACTGTTGTTTCCTCATTTTAGCTTGTAGCACTTTGCTTTTCATTCCTGGAGGAAGAAAGGGAAATGAGTGAAGTCAAGTTCCACTCAGCTTTAAGGACAATTACAAAATTTCTAGAAGGTTTATGACATCAAAGCCAGATGTGGCTGGCAGTGTCCCTGTTCCTGATAGGAACTCACAAGAGAAAAGGGGGGAAGTTAAGGTGTCTGCCAAATATTATTCTGGTTTGGAAAGTTTTTTATTTATGCATTTAGTCTTTTCCCCATGTACTCATCTAACACAACATAAAATTGCCATACACTTTTTTGGGCACTCTTTTTCTTCAGGGTTTAACAATTATGTCTACTTCACTCATTTATCCGAGGGGAAGTTAAATCTAACTGTATATGGTGTAACAGCTGATCTGCTGTAGGTAAGACTGTCATCTTCTATTTAAAAAAAAATTAAAGTATACTCTAAGTGGAGCAGTCTTGAAGTTTTGCTCACCTCATGAGATTCTTTTGCTTCACATACAGGGTCAACTGAAGAGAGGTTTTTTAAGATAATGTTCCCAAGGACCATGTTTACAGAATCATTGAATTCTGCTTTGCATGCCAAGTGGTCGAATTGTTCCATTAAATGTGCTTAAAATGACATCACCAGTCACCATCTTTCTCTGGAAACAGTTTTTCCTAAAGATAATGGGATACAGTTTAGATCTTAAGGCTGAGTGGAGCCTGACCAGCAAGTTAAATGGATGTTTACAGATACCAGTTGGGCCTGGGAGCCAGAATGAATGCCAGCACTTGGAGTACTTTGATGGCTCAGGGTAACGTGCGGTCAGTCGTTTGGTAACTCCTGTTGAGGATCACTGTACTTTCAAGCCTCATCCATGGCAGCGTGGACGGGTCTTGCACAC